TCCGTTTATTCAGGGCCTAAACCAAAGCCAGAACGTGGGAATAACCATCATCATCAAACTGCAATAAGTAGTACTCAAGATTTTCTATAAAAGTGATACTATGTAATAAGAATACCATTGCTGTTTTCCTTTTTTTAGCGGCAGAATACCATTGCTGTTTTGGAAACGACAACTGTACGTGTACTGGTGCTTCGCTGTAGAGAGCGTGCAACAGCTAGCTCATGAATGCACGCGGTATCAATCCATCCAGCACTAGCAGTAGCTGCATGCATGCATGCATGCACGCAGGCCGTCGCGAAGCTCGTTAATGGCTGCCAAAACGCCTCCGCGTGAGAGAAATGGACTCGTGAGTCCGCTATATAACCTGCACTTCTCTCCCCTCTCCTCGTCCACTCCGCCGGCCCTACCCCCGGATCGCCCCCCTCCGCTCACGCCCTCTTGCACCGCCGGACTCCCGGACCTCCTTGCCATGGCGGCCGCCGCGCTCAGGGCTCAGCTCAACGCCCTCGTCGACTCCATGTTCACCACGGTGAGTCCCCTTCCCTTACATCCCATCTAATCGCCGTGTGCTTGCTTGTGATCTGGAATCACTGGGCCGGATTGCCTGATCTTTCCTCTTGTGTGATCATCTAGGGTATTGTGGACGAGGCTTTCCAACACCTGCGGTCGGTGGAGCAGGAGGGCTTCCTCGCCGAGGTCGTCAACCTCTTCATCCACGACGCCGACAACATCCTCAACGAAGTCGCCCACCTGCTGTCCGTACCGCCGCCCCTACACCCTCCCTCCCCCTCTGCTAGCTCTTGTTATCTCGTGTTGGGTGGTATTGATTTCATCTGCTCTCTCTGCTTAACTTGTGATTCGCAGGAACCAGCCCGTGGTGAACTTCAGCAGGGTGGGCGCACTGGTGCATCAGCTAAAGGGGTGCAGCGGCAGGTGATGACCATGATAAACCATTTATTTCCCCAGCCCATTTTTAACTCTCGACGCCGTGCAATTCAGATGTGTTTGTCATCGGCATGCAGTTTTTGTGTCGTTTGCGTTATCGTATATAGTCGTAAGTAGAAGAGCCGAATTTAGTTGTGTTCCGTGCAACGGAAGTGCCGGTACCCATGCGAACGGCAATGTTATGGGTCGGCGAAGATAAGTCCGTCGTCTTGCGAACGTTTCTAGTATATATTATATTAATGATATGCTATATATTCAGCGGTGACAACGATCGCGGTTTTTCTCGAATGTCAGCGGTATCAATGTTGCTTCTCTTCAGGTGTGCCGGTACATCTGGGCATGTTATTCATGTTGTTTGCGCCTGTTGTGTAACCATATTTGGAAGAGTTGGGTTTAGTTGTGTTTTCTGTAACAGAATTGCCGGTATTACTGCCAGTGTCAATGCTCTAGCTCGGCAAGGAAAAAACTATTGTTTTGCGAATTTTTCGGGTATTAATGTGCGTGATGCCGACCGTGGGTTTTTTGGTTACTCCACGACATCAATGTTTTTTTTCTGTTTAGATGTGATGGCGCAGACACGGATCGTGTCGTGTGTGGCTGTCTTATAACCATATGTAGAAGGGCTGAATTTAGTTGTGTTTTGCATAACAGAGTTGTCTGTATTCATGCCAATGGAAATGTTATAGCTCAGCCAAGAAAACTTTGCCCTTTTGCAAACAAATTTAGTATTGTTGAATCTGCATTTCAACCAATGGCATTATTCTAGGTTAGGAATGAGAAATTTGTCGTTCCGCAAGCATTTCTAGTATTGATTATATGCTATTCTATATGATGCCATTGTTCATTTTCTGGCTTCTGGACGTGTCGGCGCAGGGTGTATACGTCATGAGCATGTGACTTGTGTCATTTGCACTGTCGTATAGCCATAACTAAAAGGTCCAACTTTAGTTGTCTTTCGTGCGTGCCAACGTTATGACTCTGCAAGAAAAAATTTGTTGGTTTGTAAATATTTCCAATACTACTAATCTGCTATTGCACATCAACCCATTTTTTTCTAGTTTATCGAACAATCTATTGTGTTGACAACCATGATAAGAAATGACACCTTGTGGATACTATTGTGACATCGGAAGTATGCTTATGTGTATCAACGTGCTGCAGCATTTAATAAGTTTGAGAAATTTCTAGTTCCCTGATTGGTGCTTCTTGGTATGTTTTCAGTGTTGGTGCTAAGAAAGTGAATCTCGCCTGCACCCACTTCCGTCAGTCTTATGAGGCAGAAAGTAAAGAAGGGTTAGTACTCAGTGTCTTATTATATTTGTTGCACAGTAATTATTCTCCACTCTATGTATTTTTCAAATTTTGCATATAAACCTGTGAGTTGAATATTTAGCTCAAACCAACCTAGTATTCTTTTCACTTGATCTGCAATCACATGATTGGTACAATTTGGTTCATTATCTGAATGTGCTAATGTTTGATGATCCTTTTGTAACTTGTGGGCTTGACTTCTATTTCTAGCACAACTGAGATGGTAAAAGCTTTTATTTTTCGAATACAGGATCAAAATTTCTGAACTGTTTCTGTTCAGTTCGCTTGATCTCTCCAAAATTTGATAATGTGTATGTTTGCATTATTCCAGGTGCCTCATGGCATTGGACCTTGTTAGGAATGAGTTTTATGATGTGCGCAACAAACTACAAACAATGATTCAGGTAGCACCTTATGTGCCTAGCTATGTTGGCTTTTGACTTCCGATTTCTCACTAGTATGATAATCCATAGATTGCTCATATATCGTTTAGGATCAAAATGAATAACCTGAATCTTATTCTTGTTCGGTGTTAAAATTCATCTAAATATACTTTTGGGTTTTCTAAAACACTTAATAAGTCGAGGTGTTTGAAATTATCATGCCTTAATTTTGTCGTCTCTTTTAGTAGATGTATGGGGTAGCCCTACAAAGTGGAATTTCTCCGTTTCCCATCATAACTTAACAAGTATAAAGGAGTAAGATGTGGACCAACTTGTAACTAATTTGTGAAACCATGTGACTTGAGCACCACAATGCGTTGTAGACCGGTCATACTCATTAACCTATTATTCTTTTGATGCAGCTGGGGCAGCAGATCACGGCCATGGGTCCTCAGTAGTAGCAACTGAAGCAAAAGGATCATGGCCCCATATGATCCCTATCATGATGGGGTGTATGTATCGCTAAAGATGTTCAAGTGGTGTCTGGGTTTGGAGGGCGTGCTCGTAACCCTGTGAAAGACACTTGTTGTCATGTGTGTTAATGTTTGTGTCTGTCAACTCTATGTACCTTGTGTGTCATGGATTATTTGGTCGGTTGTTTGTTGGTGACATGAATATCTCTCTCTCTCTCTCTCTCTCTCTCTCTCTCTCTCTCTCTCTCTCTCTCTCTTCGATTACATTCTTGTGGACTACACCAGAGTGTGACGTGTGTGTGTCTGCCTTGTGCTCTAAAGTGTTACTACTGGCTGGTATACCGAGAGTGCAGTAAATCACCATTTTCATTGCTGGTTTTTGCATCCGTTTCAAACTCATCTAGGATGACACCAAGCTCAGCAATGAGATCGACTACAGTCAACTCGGGCATCCTCTTTGCATATCCCAGACGGATGACCTCCATCCTCATGCATGAGTTGCACATTACACACTTGGGTAGCTCCTCAACTGAAGTTCCTCTTCTAACCGGGTTATTTCTCAGAGACAACTCTGAGTTTCCGTTTCGAAAAGAAAAAAAAAACTCTAAGTTGCCACTGTGGACTTTAATTACCTCTGGTATGATAATCTAGGGCATTGTGGACGAGGGTTTCCAACACCTACAGTCGGTGGAGCAGGAGGGCTTCCTCGCCGAGGTCGTCAACCTCTTCCTCCACGACGCCAACACAACATCCTCAACGAAGTTGCCTTCCGATTGTTCGTACCGCCGCCCCTACGCCCTCCCTCCCCCTATGCTCTTGTTATCTCGTGTTGGGTATTGATTTCGTGTGCTTTGCTTAACTTGTGATTCGCAGGAACCAGCCCCTGGTGAACTCCGACGGGGTGGGCGCACTGGTGGATGATCTCAAGGGGTGCAGCGGCAGGTGATTGCCATGATAAACATTTTATTTCCCTATCCCATTATATAATTGTCGATGTCGTGTAATTCAGATGTGTTTGCCATCGGCATGCAGTTCGTGTCGTTTTCGTTGTTGCATAGCCATAAGTAGAAGAACCGAATTTAGTTCTTGTTTCGTGTAACAGAAGTACCGGCAGTATCCATGCCAATGGCAATTTATCACTCGGTTAGGATAACTTTTTCTCCTTGCAAGTGATGCTTTGGTATTAATGATATGCTATTCAGCCTAATGGCGGTTTTTCTCGTATGTCAAGGTATCGGTGTTGCTTCTATTCAGGTGTGTCGGTGCAGTGTATACATCAAGGGGGTGTTATTCATGTCGTTTGCGGCTGTTGTGTAACCATATTTAGAAGAGATGGGTTTAGTTGTGTTTCCTGTAATAGAATTGCCGGTATTACTGCCCAGTGTCAATGCTCTAGCTCGGCAAGGAAAACAATTGCCGTTTTGCGAACATTTCTTTTCTTTTCTTTGCGGGGTTTTTGCGAACATTTCGGGTATTAATGATTTTCTATTCTATGTAACACAAAACCGTGGGTTTTGGGTTTGTCCACGATATCAATGTCATTTCCATTCAGATGTGATGGCTCAAACACGAATCGTATTGTGTCCGGCTGTCGTATAACCAGGGGCGGAGGCAGGATTGGAGCTTAAACGGGGCCGAACATGGTGATTCTCACTTAGAGGGGGCCAAGAAAGCTAATTTTGTCTAAACATCATGTCTAAACTAGCCTTAAGTACAAAAGCATTCGTATTATACAATGACATAGGGGGGGCCAGGGCCCCTGCTGGTCCCCCCCTAGCTCCGCCACTGCGTATAACCATATGCAGAATGACTGAATTTAGTTGTGTTTTCGTGTAACACAGTTGTCGGCATTCATGCCAATGGAAATGGTATAGCTTGGCAAGAAAAACTTTGTTTTGTGGGAAAATTTATTGTTACTGAATCTGCATTTCGACCAATGGCATGAGAAATTTGTTGTTCTCCAAAAAAATCTAGTACTTTATTATATTCTATTCTACATAATACCAATGTTCATTTTCTGGTTTCTGGTATGACGTTGTTTCTATTCGGACCCGTCGATGCGGGGTGTGTACGTCATGAGCATGTGGCTTGTGGCGTTTGCGCTATTGTGACATCGCAAGTATGCTTATGCATATCGATATGCTGCAGCGTTTAATAAGTTTGAGAAATTTCTTGTTCCCTAATTGGCGCTTCTTGTATGTTTTCAGTGTTGGTGCTAAGAAAGTGAATCTCTCCTGCAACCGCTTCCGTCAGTTTTATGAGGCAAAAAGTAAAGAAGGGTCAATATTCAGTACCTTATTTATATTTATTAACAAGTAATTATTCTCCTCTCTATGTATTTTTATAATTTTGCATGTAAACCCGGCGAGCTGATTTCGTATATTTAACTCATACCAATCTAGTATTCTTAAGATCTAACCTGCTTCTTCAATTCATGTGCAATGACGTGATTTGTAGAACTCAGTTCATTACCTGAATGTGCTAATCTTTGATTATTATCTTGTAACTTGTTGTCTCTAGACTTCTGTAGATAGCACAACTGAACTCTTAGATGGCTAGTGTGTTTTTTTTCGAACAGAGGGTTACATTTTCTGAACCATTTTCATTCAGTTCGATCGACGTCTCCAGAATTTGACAATGTGCATGTTTACGTTATTCCAGGTGTCTCATGGCATTGGCGCTTGTCACGAATGAGTTTTCTGTTGTGCGCGACAAGCTCCACACCATGATACGGGTAACACCTTTTGTGCATACGTTGGCTTTTGACTTCCAACTTGTGACTAGTATCATAATATATCCATAGATTGGTCATATATCCTCATTTAGGGTAAGAAAGAATAATTTTCTGGTGTTCAAATTTATCTAGATATACTTTTCGGTTTTCTAATACACTTAAGTCGAGGTCTTTGAAATGTGTATGTCTTATTTTTGTCATCACTTGTACTAGATGTATGGGGTAGCTCTAAGAAGTGGAATTTCTTTGTTTCCCATCATAACTTAACAAGTATTGGAGTAAGATGCGGACCAACTTGTAACTGATTTGTGAAACCATGTGACCTGAGTCGTAGACCGGCCGTAGTCATTAACCTGCTATTCTTTTGTGCAGTTGGAGCAGCAGATCGCGGCCATTGGTCCTCAGTAGTAGAATTTGAAGCAAAAAGATGATGGCCTGTGTGATTCCTGGCATGTAGACGTGTTCAAGGAGTGTCTGTGTTTGGAGGGCATGCTCATAACCCTGTTAAAGAAACTTGTTGTCATGTGTGTCTGTCAACTATATGCACTTGCGTGTCATAGATGCCCGCAGGCTGTGTGTAAACTCTATGCTTGGTTTGGTTACACAGTACACACTTTGGGTGGCTCCTCGACTGATGTTCCTCTTCTGACCAGGTTATTTCACAGAGACAACTCTGAGTTGCCATGAGTAGCTACTCATGCCCCTTCGTCTAGGGTATGTTTGACTGATAAACAAAGTCAACTCTACCATTTTTTTGAGGAAATTATAACAAAAAAATGTTCAAGACCAAGCTTTGGCTCTTGGTTGGTTAGATATTTACCAAAATCATTAGTACAACCAGTCCATGCCCTTCCTGTTCCGTGCGTAAGGCGACATATAGGGTGAGCAAACATGCAACCTCTCCAATCATATTTCGGCTAGGTCCACTTACATTTATCTTTTGTCGCTGGCACGAGTTGGTTCCGCTGTTTTTATGTTCTGTTGGTACTTTTTTATTTGGACTTTTATAACTACCAAATGTTCGGATTTTAACAATAGGCAAAAACTATTCTTATTCCATTCTAATTGTATACATGCATGCATTAAAATAATTAATTTTCCTTTCACATGCGCTCCTGCCTCTAATTACATGCATATGTGCACTAAAAGACGAAAAGATGATCTCATCCTAGATTTTTTTTAAATTTCAAAATGTTTTGTAGCTCAAACCGTCGCTTCGATTGAAAAACCTCATTTTTTGGCCGGTATACCGAGATGTGTTGTTCGTCGGCCTCCTCTGCCACCAGAACCTCGCAGCATCACTGCTGCAGCAAACTGTCTAATCTGCCGCCCAGAGGAGAGAGAAGATATGTTGGGGCGGGGCGCTGAAAGGTGATGCAGGACACCATCTAGCAGGCAAACCCAAAGTCCATCTTGGAGGTATTGGATGAATTTTCTTGGAAGTAGCAATCCAATAAAGATACTCTGCTGAAGCAAACTTAGAAGGGCTTGGAAAGGTCAGAGAAAAATGTTATTGTCAGAGGTGCCAAAACTAATAGGGATGATGTCAAAATAAACATAGTTCGGCGGCTCCAAAAAAGAGTCGTGTACAGTTCGGAAGCTATAGGAAACATGGTTCGCTCATCATGGCCTACTCACTCCTAAAAGTCGTAGTACTGGGTGGACAAACTCAGAGTAACTCGGCACTGAAACAAAAAAAAGTTGAGTTGCTAGAGTGAAATACTTGAGAATTTTGGTTGAGGATCTTATCTTGGAGTTCGACCACATATACTTTGCTTTTCTCCTCTTGATAGTATGACTATTCTACACTCTGTGTGAATCTTGGAATCACTAAAAGCCTATAAAACTGTACTTTAAGAACTTGAGGCACACAACCACTTGAAGAAATAGTTGTACTGGTCAACCTTGATGTTTCCACTAAGGTTTATGGACTAATTTCCTAAGATAAACTCATAAAACGTTCATTATCTCAATTGCTTTCTCCTTAATCACAAAAACCTATATTAAGGGTATATAAGTTGTGCTTTCAATGTTGTAGTTTAGCCACAAGTTTGAAGTATTATTGTTAACTTTATGTCATATTTGTGTCGTTTTAGAACCAGCATGTTCATTTTTTATTTAATTCGAACTCCAAACATTAGTTAATGCATGATCTAAAATGTTCTGTATGGAAATAGAACTTATTTGCAGTGGAGGAGCACGGTACAAATAAAGATAGAATGAGTTTCAGCCTTTTAGGTACTTGCAATTGCTCAGGATAC